GAAGATCCGCGGAACCCTTCGAAAGTGGACGCGGCTGTTCTGCGTCCTCAAGCCGGGCGTGTTCCTGCTTTACAACAGCCAGAAGACTACCAAGGTGTCATTTTTCTATTTGATTTGCCTTGCCTTGTTTCGGCTTATGACGTATGTGTTGTTTTGTTTCTGTGATAGTATGGTCATTGGATCGGCACCGTGCTACTGAGCTGCTGCGAATTGATCGAAAGACCGTCGAAGAAAGGCGGATTCTGCTTCAAGCTGTTCCATCCGCTCAGTCAATCCATATGGGCGTCACGCGGCCCCATGGGCGAATCTTTCGGTGCCGTCGTGCAGCCTCTGCCCACAAGCTATCTGATATGCAGAACTTGTACCGAAGAAGCAGGTGGGTTGTAGCTTGCCAGTGCACCTGTTTATCACCGTCAAAAACTGGAGTTAAATGAAACACCAAGTTTCGATCTCTTCCAAACTAGATGGTGAACAATCAGATACATCACTTGTGCGCGTATACCGGCGATCACAATGATTTGGTCAGCATTTGTTATTCGTTATCACCTATGAGGGTAAAAATGAAAAATCTTTATCACTGGACGATCCGTATGCTCTACGGTTTACTGACTGGTACCATTATTATTTATTTATTTGCACTCATCTCTGTTTCAACACCATCTGTCAGAAATAATTTTCTTTAAAGACACTGCCCGCAGGTATGGGCCAAATGTAACGTGTAGTTCCTTGTTTCCTTCCCATGAAGTTGTATTCATTTATCAACCACAGAAAGATGATAGTCAGGTAATCCGACGGGAGCGCAAACTTAGAGCTACGCTATGCAGTCCGACTAAATTCTGGAGGTTATGGTAGAAACATGGAGAGACTTGAGGAATTTCAGATTTGCACTATTGCCCAGCTATTTATTTATCACCACATGGTTGTTTAGTTCCAGAATTATAGCTTTTATTTGTCCACTGAAAAGTGTTGTCCAAACATACTTCTTCATCTGCCTCAGTGACGCTTGCCTTACTTGCGAAGCACGTCGAGTGCCTCCTTTTTGAGCATTTAAAAAGACTCTAAAACACAAGTCATTTTGATAAAATGCTAGAGGCAGAACCACTTTTTTGAAGTTTTTGCTCTTCTGTTTTGAGGTTAAGCCATAAACAATACGTCATCAGTCAGATTAGGGTCTGTGAAAGTGGTGGCAGTGGTTTAGTTCCGTTTTTGTCAGAAATGTGAAATTAACTGTACTTCAGGTTTCGCGATGCAGCTGTAACACATTCAGAAACATTACATACCGTAGCTGTCAACTGCCGCGCAGCATCATTCACTGGATAGTGAGTTTTTGTATCACAAAGTAAAATCACGTCACCCACCGTCGCAGCGAGCGATGATGCCATGACTATATCTCGAAGAACAGTGGCGAAAAGAATGGGCGAACATTTGGATCACGTCCTTAGCAAAGTCTTTATCCTCAGTTCGACCTCAACCCCCCCTCATAGAATTGATTGCCAATAATGATCGAAGTTAAACCGGACTGAAACGGGAAAAGGGCGTTGTGGACAACTCATCACCGCCGGGAGATGAGATGCAGCCTGCTGTGTGATTGCGATCATGTACATCAGACTATGCAGCACATTGTTTTAGAATGCCAGCTGCAAAAGTTCGATGACGGCATAGCTGACTTCCAGAACACTACCGTGGCGACCGGTCATTCGCTTAGAATTCATTGTAGAAATTAAGCTACTTGTAACCCCCAGCCATTTGACAGAAGCAGAATTGCAGTGACCATTTGGTGCAGTACCAACTTTAGATCCAGTCTCAAACGGATCACAATTCTCCAGCGTTTCATCTGTCAATATCATTTTGAACCTTAGATTTATGTGGTGGACGGACTTTTTAATGCGTAATCAAAATCCATTTTGTGCAGATCAGTCATCAGGCCATTGGAACATCAGACCGGTAGGTTATAATCTTAAACGATGCCCTTTTTAGGCAAATGCTGGATGGATGCTTTGGAATTAGCACTGCGCTGCAGCAGTCTATTGCTCAGAACGATGCAGCGACAGTTCGACGCGATGGGCACCTCATCTGAACTTGAAC